CGCCATATCTCCAATAGTTTCTTCCTCTATTCCTTTCGAGGGTTTGTTGGAAATCGCAATATTTACGTTTTTATCTGAGGCAGTTACACTGTAGCTACTTCCGTTTTTCTGGATTGAGAATAAGGCATTTACTTGATCCTCACTAAACCCATATCTATTTTGCAAGATTCGTTTTGTTATCTCTCTGATAATTTCTTCTTCCAGATTTTTCGGAGGCGATGCCATAACTATTCTACAACTACCTTCGACAATATTTATAGTTTTAGTTTTCCCACTTCTCTGGTTGGGTATCAATATGCTCACCTGATTACTGCTAAATTTAAAGCCATCCCGAAGACGTCGTCGACCTTGATTCCGCTTTCTATCATCGGTAAAGTTCTTAAGAAATTCTGAGGTATATTGGCTAAGTTCAGAGTCGCTCATCTTTGGGGTGAGAGTGTATTTTTCAACGATTTTTGTTGCAATAGTTGGCATGGTCTAATGTTATAATAGGTTGAGTAGTTTATGAATAATTCTTTAGGTTATATACACTATAGAAAATATTTTTTCAAATCGAAATTAATTATCTTTTTCCTCCCATGTTCAGAAAAAGAGAGTATATGTCGATGTACGGGGTAACTGGTACACCGATTTGAATTTAACTAATACATAGATTATAACGAAAAAAAATATAGCTCTGGAAATAGAGGTCCAGGTTATATTAAGGTTTATGATTCATTTTCTATTATTTAGTACACCTATTCAAATAAATTCTGGCACGATTCAACAGTTATAAGATATTTGCGATATATGTCCGGTCTGTTTTGTAATATTTCGGGTGGTGGTATTACTGCTGGCTTCCATATATTAAATAAGATGGCTGTGTGATCGGAACAACCATAATCGATATGTTCAGATATTTCTGAGTAATTCGATAAATCACTAACATGTCTATATCCATTGCGGATTAATTTGCGGAATGTTGGTCCATTCAGATTTATCATCCGGTCAGTTAGTAAGTTGAGCGCTTTTTCTGGGGGTTCCAATTCTTGATCGTTCATTTTGTTTATAGTATATTATATATATATATATCATAAATAATACGTAATTTTGTAATATTTTTATTGAAAAATTTTATATTAGCTAGTTTGAAGAGGCAAAAAAGCCCCCTCCATTGGATGTTTCTACCTATAAACCCTTTTTATTCTCACCTTACCATAACGATCAAACCGAGTTGTAATAACTTACCATAGCAATCCATTTTCCTGGAGTATGGTTTTATTTTTTATCCATTCTTCATCAGTGTCAAGCCATATGGATTCGCCTGCATCTTCAAGTCTACGGCGTAAGATTTCTTCTCCTATCAATCTTTCCCGATGCGTCATTTCCATAAAATCGTGGGGATCGTTACCTTGTTCTATATTAAAGAGACAGGTATTTGCGTCAACATCTATCCTTGTGAGATAGTCTATTGAATCAGTTTTGTCTTTATCTGTAATGGTCACGAACTTATCGGGATCCTCATTATGATCTATAGCCCATCGCCTGAGACGTTTTTCCCGCTCTTCTCGGGGTATATATCCAGGAGGGTATGTTTCCGATTGGTTGTTGACTTCATTATTGCTGAGTTCGGATTTATAATTTGCAGGTAAGTCGGGAGAAATATCGGGTTCATTTTCCACTGTATTCTAGTACGTGTCTATTACTTATATCTTTGATTAAAGCGTCAAGAACGCCTGGAGGAGGGAAAAAGGCAGATGCATCTCTTCAACCTGCGAGAAAACCTCAGGTGCGTAGGAATGAATATGATGGAAAAGTATGAAGCGGTTTTGCCCTTGTTGTTTTGCTAATGTGATTCTAATTAAATGAAACATATTCTTAGGATAAACCCTGGCCTATTCTTGTAATTGAGGTCACTCATTGTCAGATCTTATTAGAAAAATAGAGACTTACTGGCTTCAACAAAATAGAGTCACAATGTATGTGATTTCTGGCTTCTCACATGGTACCAATATTTGAACTCAAAACCAACATACTATCTATAAAATAAGGAACTGTCCCTTAGCCAGATAACAGTAGACGATACCTTTTTAGGTCTTCCTCGCGTCTTGTAATATTTTTAGGTTGGTATTTCGGGTGAAAGCACGTAATTACAGTTTTTTTGGCATTATTTGAATAATGTTTCTTTTTTAATAGGCTTGGCACTATTACTATTGCGCAGATAATCGGTCACGGATCATAAATCAGCATCGGCCGTCACAATATTTGGCACAATCAATCAGCCACTCGATATTACACAAGGGCAATGCGTTATAAATATTCCATTGACATTCATTTATCACGGGATGCCAAGTAACTTTGTTATTTCTTCCCCTCCTCTATCTCGTAACTAGAGGGTAATGGTTTAGCCTGCCTGCCTTTATTGTAGACAGCCAGCGTTGATGGACAACGCACAATTTACAATGAAAATCAAATATCGCGCATACAACTTGATACTTTAAACGACTATGTTGAATTTTTATAGATGGACAAGTATTTCATAACAAATATTGGCAATATAAAGAGTAACATTTTATTTCTTTATTGTTGATTTGAAAAAGGAAAGTGTCGTGTTGTTAGTTCAATGGTTGATAATGCAGTCATTGATGTATCAATGTTTATTTGATATTTATGTGTCTTGTACTCTTATGATTAGGTTAAAATTATGTCGAATTGACCTGAAGCGTCAGAGTATAACCGCTTTCGGTAACGTTAGTTTGTGTTGTTACCTTTCCGAGGAGATGTTGTCCAATCGTAATGCTATCAGCGTCAATAGTCTAATAGTCTAGTGATAACAATATCGATTACATTATCCCCGTCATCTTCGAGATAGCTTGGCCTTTTTTGATAGTTTATTTGTTTGATCAGTTGACATTGGTTATTTTTACGAATCGGTTTAATTCAATTCGGGAACGTTCGATTTTAATGTTTGTCGATATTTAAGAGTGATGACAGTATCCATTCGAAATCATGATTTCAATGTTTGGAACTTACGTACAGCATATTGGCACGGCTTATCGAATGCTTGGAGTTTACGTCTCTGCATTGACATCACTTATGGTAAGAACTGAGGCAATGATAGTGTGTTTGGCGTAATACAACATGCGTTTGCAAACATTTTGTAGATCGTCGCTACGTGAGAATCCTAGTATAAGTACTCCAACGATCATTTCACCGACAAATATTAATATGTCCACTGCGTATTAACACTACTTGACAACGAAGCCTTTTCCAAGACTCCCACATACTTTCGATGGCCTTAGAAAATGTTGTAATTAATATATTATACAGTTTTTTACAAATGTTCAAGCGTTTTGTTCCTTTTAGGTTGATAGATTCCCGTATCGCCGACTTACCGACGCGATATGATGCAATGAGTGGTTTCTGCTATAATATGTTGAAAAAAGGCGATAAAGTTAGACAGGTTGGCACATACGATTTAAGTGTCAATAATAATAAACGTGTTTTAGATTAAACCTAGACTTCAACTTAGCAGCCGGCTCTGCTCTAGGAGAGATATAAGTAGTAAAATCAGCAAGACCAAAAAAAGGTACCATATGCACAAATCGATAGATAACTTTACATTTTAGTTAATATCGGGTCGATGCTTTGTAATCACGCTGATTCATTAATAGAGAGTGAATTTACAATATCCATTGTCTTATAATTTAGTGACTCAATTTGAATAAAACAGTCTTTACACGAGTTCTGTTCGAAGATTTACCCATTTTCCATTAAAACGACGATATTATTCAAAAAATCGAAACCAACTAATTAAGAGTTTCTTCTGTTCGTCAACATATGCTTGTCAAGGGGGATTATATAAGCGAGCGAAACTTTCGGTGTGTGTATGCAAAGTCCTTGTCTATCGGTATAGGAATATTGAGTCTGTTAATAATGGCCTTGTGAAGTTTGTATCAATTGGCATAAGCCACGCCAGTTGAAGCTAACAATAAATATGTAATACTTCTCAGTATTTGTTTTTCCATTCATTACAGCACAGCGTAACCATTTGAGGATGTATTGGAGTATTTGGGCCCCAATTGCTTTTCAAAGATCGTTTAACAGCACGGTTAATGAACTGCTTCGATTTGGTGTTTCTATGCGCTTTAAATATTGTATCTCACTGTTCTATCACTTACGATTGCTAACGACCCTTTTATTACTTCAATCGTTGATGGATTACTAACATATTAATTATTGTGCATCTTTTGATGCCCAACTTTCCGACATCTGTGACTTGCATTCCAATCATTTTATGTTTATTATGTGATGTGACTGCAATGGGGGTAAATTTTCACATATCTGCAATTATATTACGTTACACGCATCCCTTTAAAGATGACAATGTTGGGCGATTCCGATTGCCATAACCGCAGGATAATGATAAGAGCAATGTCATCATCCAAAATACTCATAACCAACATTGCATACTCGATCATTTCGAGTGTAGCAAAAACCTTAGGACATAACTTAAATAACTAAGAAATGGTGAAAAGAAACAACAACCCTCCAAATGCACAGGATCCAAGGCAAGGGTCTAGTTCTTCCACTCCACAACAACAGCGTCAACAGCAGCAACAGTGGCGGCGGCGGCAACAGCAGCGGCAACAGCAGCAGCAGCAGCAGCAACAACAACAACAATTACAACAACAACCACTACGACAACAACAACCGCAGCAGCAGCAGCAGCAGCAGCAGCAGCAGCAACAGCAACAACAACAACCACTACGACAACGACAGGCATTCACCAGAGAGGAGCGTCAAGCCATGAAAGCCATAGGCTTCAGGAATTATCAGCACCAACTCATTGAAAACTTTCAGTCATCTGTTCTTGCTAGTGGTGGCAGTGACTCGCTTGTGTTTTTTCCGCCAGAATTTAATATATCCGAAAAACAGTGGCCATATCTACTCAGGAGGGAAGAAGATTGGAGTCATACTGATATGAGATCATTTATTAATTCATGTCTTATGGCCTCATCCCCCGGCAACCCATTGGCCGAAGAGGTGGTGAATAAGTTGTCGAGTGACAAAGGGATACCTAGGATAAGATTCATATGCAATAATACATCAATGAACGTTGATGCGGGAGTCGGCAATAGATCGGTATCCTTCCAGTCTGTAATGTTACCTTTCATAGCACTGCTTGTTAGGAACGGCGTTCGAGAATCGACTCTCGAAAAGCAAGTGAATATAATCTATTCGACCGTATATACATACGTGGACACCATCGTTCATGATCAAATGTTGCGTTGTGTAGACGAGTTAATACGCAGGAAATCACTTAAAGACACGTCTACGACAGAGCAGGAACTACTCAACGTAAATGCGTTCATACCTGTTAGTTATGCTCAGATACTTTTAGTGCTTGTACGATTTGTGAATGAAATACTCGGCAGAATCAAAGAAGCTAGGATGAACGTGACATTACAGAAGATAGGAGGAAGATTAGAACGGGCAACTATTGCATGGAAAGAATTTTTGTCGAACGGTCTTATGTATGGAGATATTTTATCGAGTAGTGACGGTCTGGGATCATACTGCTTTACAGTTATAGACAAGGAACTGAACAAAATGAAAAAAATATTGGATTCGGGAAGGAGAAGCCTAGAGAGGGGGATGGAAGTTACAAAGATAATGTTCGAAAATGTTGGGTTGAACAAAGAAGCTATAACTGCAGCCATGCAGTTGGACTTATGTCGGTCGTATGATCCACCAGGTATGGCCATCATCTTATGTACTTTCTGGTATAATGAGAGATTTACCTTCTTTTTCGTATTCCTTAGGTGAACACTCTAAGCATGGGAAACGCCATGACAATGATGCAGTCAACTTTCAAGAAATACGCGTAATCCCCACTGCAGATGAAATTCTCTGCAAACGCAATCCCTTTCTTCCTTCAACTCTCCCCACCACTCCTCACTTTCTCGAACCCGGTCCAGACCGTCTGTTAGACACTCAATTTCGACTCGTACGTGAAGACATGTTAAATCCATTACGCATTGGTCTTCATGATTTCTTGGCAGATCTAGACAAGGACAAATCACAGATAGCGAAACTATTAGACAAGGGTGGAAGATTTAAATCAGATAAAGGAAACCACAGCGGTGGAGACTTGAATGTTTATGCGAATGTCAAGTTTAATGGTATCCAAGTGAATAAAAACAGAGGGTTTCTAGTTCGAGTAGGATTTAAACAGCCGAAAGTTATTAAAACTGGAGAACAGAGAAAGTTTTATTGGGAGAGATCAAGAAAATTAATGCATGGGAGTTTAATTTGTGTGTTATGGGCTAATGACTATGAAAAGGACCGGGACATCGTGAGTTCTAAGAATGCCTTTACACTTTATTTCGGCGGTGAGTATACAATAAGTTGATGTTCTGTACAGTAGTTTATGAAACTTACGTATTATCCATACGTTAGTAATTGCTGAAAGAAATGAAAACTCGCTGTCAGAGAAGGCAGATGAAGCGATAATCGGCGTCCATTTTATCGAAAGTTCGATCTATCCAATCGTTTTAGAGGATATGACGCTTGCCCGCAGGCTATCGGAGACTGGGCCTAAACTTCCTGATCGATTTATGGTAGAATCAACTGGAGTTTACTTCGAATCCTATGTTCACATATTGAAAGCGCTCCAAGATTTCAGTCCGGGGGCACTCCCGTTTTCTCGACATCTTGCTCCGGCAACAGAAGAAGAACTGACCGCCAAACTCGAACCACCGTTGTACGCACGCGCGCCTGGTTTTAAATTCGATCTGTCGGCATTACTTGATAAGAAGACAGCTTTAACGTTAGAGCCTGATAATGAACTTTCACGGAACTCAGCTGTGCAGACATTAGTCCAATCAGGCAAGCTGGATGAAAGTCAGGCCGAGGCACTAACCTATTCTCTGTGCAGGGAAATTGCTTTGATCGAAGGTATAGTAACATACTGATTACATATTGAGTTTACATATATGCAGTCTTTCCTTTATACCGAGTTAGACTCGTCTCTAATCAATCCTAATCATACTGTCTTCAGGGCCACCCGGTACCGGAAAGGTTGGTCAACGCCCAGTTCTATAAATTTACGTTTTAGACATTCTAACGCTCTTATTTAATACCAAAGACATACGTCGGAGTAGAATTGATGAAAGTTCTTTTGGATGAATCAAATCAGAAGAGAGCTTCCATTGGTCCCGTATTGACAATATGTAATTATCAACAACGGATTTGCTAGCAAGCTGTATAACTTCTCTTCATAACCGTTCTTGTTATCGTAACAGGCTTCACTAATCATGCACTGGATCAGTTCCTTGAAAATCTCTTACATGTTGGGGTGAAAGACGTTGTTCGATTGGGAAGTCGATCGAAATCGGAAGAGATCAAACCATTTGCTTTGGAAGAACGCTCTCGCAAACAACAAAAATCCCCTGAACATAGGTAAGTAATTATGAGTACACATTTTAAAACTAGATATGAACCTACATTATACCCTACACCGCACATTTTACTTCCACTACGTTATATTTATGAATTACTTCTCTGTTAAGGCGTATGTTGGGGGCTGCCTATAGCGAATTGGAGACTTTATCGAAAGAAGCGCATGTGTTGACTGAGCGTTTGGCTCGCAAGACAATGGATTGGAGCGTAAGTAGCCGTAGTCACATGTTGACATCACATCCTCAACGGTATTAATCTAACCACAAATTTGATATGTCGAAAGGATGTAGAAATGTTGCTCATGGTCGATCACAACTCAGTTTATCAGCAACTGACGGAGGGCCCGGTAGATTTTCATTCTGAATTTATCGAATTGGAAGAAGAAGACTTCGATCCTAATAATAGTTACGCAACTGAGTTTAATAATAGGAAAGTAAATCAAGATGATAATGAAGAATGGGAGTATGTCGGTGCTGGGAGGGGCCGCGAGCCGCGATCGCTATTTGCTCAATGGGTTCATGGGACTGACATCAGACGCAAGCAGCAGACTATTGAACGTCTGAAAAATATTGAAATAGAAAAGAGAGAACGTAAACGGGGAAAAGGGAAAAATAAAAATACCGAAAATCCGTTTGAGCTTTTACAAAATCAAGACGAAGATATAACAATGATTGACGAAGAAGCAACGAATTCTGAATCATCAAACAATCAATTTTTGATGCAAGCATTACAAATACAAATACCAGAAACAGACAGACCTTTGGACGTTTTGCTTGAGGAATGCAATTATGGGAGTAGTGTGTGGGATATGAGTATTATTGAGCGAAGGAGATTACATGACCATTGGAGAAAATTGATAAATGAAGAGATTATTGAGAAGTTAGCGGAGTTGGTTAAAAAACACACAGAGAAACGGAAGGAAGTTGATAGTAAGTAATTGAATAGTATGCCTTCATGAGCTACTCGCTGAACAATAATAAGTGTAATTGTCATCATTGCCTTTCATACCATGTTAATCTTTGTTGTCTATGCCCCAACAATATTCCAGATATTCACGATGGAGTTCGAAAGGAAATACTCAAATCCGCTCAAGTAATTGGGATGACTACAAATGGAGCGGCCAAATTCCAATCGCTGATACGTTCAGTAGCTCCACGTATAATCGTATGTGAGGAAGCAGGCGAAGTATTGGAAGCTCACATCCTTGCACCATTGAATGAGACACAGCATCTCATTCTCATTGGTGATCACTTGCAACTTAGACCACACGTGGCAACATACGGCCTTAGTTTAGACTCCGACGTCGGTAAGAACTATGCGCTCGACAGGTCCCTATTTGAACGTTTGGTAAACGAGAAAAAGCCGATGGTCAAATTGTTAACTCAAAGACGGATGCGTGGCGAAATAGCTGACCTAGTAAGGGACACTCTGTACCCTGATCTCATAGATCATGAAGTTACAACGAAATACCCTCCTGTGCGTGGAACACCGTATAATCTTTTCTTCTTTGATCATATGAATCCAGAAGACGCAGCTGGTAGTAATCAATTTGCGATGCAATCCCATTCAAATTCATTCGAAGTGAAGATGGTTGTCGAAATGGTAAAATACTTTGTTAGAAATGGCTATGATAAAGATGGTGACATTGCCGTGTTGACGCCCTATTTGGGGCAGATGATTAAGATAAGAGATGCGCTAAACAAGCAATTTGTAGTCATCATTGATGAAAGAGACAACGAGCAGATTGCTATGATGACTGAAGATGAGCTTGTAGAAGCTGATTCTACCAACGAAGCCTCATCTTCGGTAGCTATACCCACAGCATTAAAAAAATCACTGACGAGACAAGTTACACTGCGGACCATTGACAACTATCAAGGAGAAGAGGCAACAATAGTCATTATATCACTCGTCCGAAATATATCTCAATATAGCAGCAAAGCCACTATTGGCTTCTTGAAATCAAAGAACCGTACCAATGTGCTATTATCTCGTGCTAAACATGGTATGTTCTTACTGGGAAATGCCAATCTCCTTGTTGAGAAAGCAGAACGGGAGGGAATGAAAATGTGGCCAACAGTAATCAATACACTCAGAGAACGTGGTCAACTAGGCAGTGCATTCCCATTGCAATGCGAAAGACATCCTGATACAATTAATTTCGTCGAAAAGCCTGAACAGTTTTCCGAATTCGCACCTGATGGCGGATGCCAGGAGCCATGCGGATTCACCCTGAAATGTGGTCACATATGCCAGTACAAATGCCACTACGATGATCCTGATCACATTGGTGTCATGTGCTATAAACCATGTCAGAGACTACACGAATCATGTCGACACGCATGTCCAAAGACTTGTGGAGAGCCATGTGGGAACTGTAATCTAACTATCAATAATGTCGAATTACCTTGTGGACATATTAAAAAGAAAGCCCCTTGTTATCAGGCATGTGATCCGACGTTAATTAAATGTGAGGTGCTTATTGATTGCGTTCTCCCCAGGTGTGGCCACCAACAAAAAAGGCATTGTTTTGAAGCGATAGAAGACGTTAAATGCAGTCAAAAATGTGGAATGCCGTTAGGATGTAGTCATTCTTGCGCTTCGAACTGTGAGGAATGTCAGCGCAGATCTATCCGCACATCAGCCACGAAAGAAGCTACATTAGATGAAAACGGTCATGTGACAAAAACTAATCATTTCCCATGCAAGCAAGTGTGCGGACGTAATTTGTATTGTGAACATCGTTGTACGAGTGCATGTCACGATGGAAAGCCCTGTCCACTATGCAGCGGAAAATGCATGATTAGATGTAGACATTCTACATGTAACAAAAGATGCTCCGAACCTTGCAATGTCTGTTCCGAGCCATGTGATTGGCAATGTAAACATCAAGGCAAATGTTCGCTCAGTTGTGGAGCTCCTTGTATTCGACTGCCATGCAACCACCGATGCGAGAAACTCTTACCTTGTGATCACCAATGTCCTGGTGTATGTGGAGAAGAATGTGTTCCTGTTGAATTCTGCCCCATCTGTGCCCTACCCGATATACGAAAGCAAACATCTAATGCGGCAATGTTAGAGGAGTTTGGCGAAGTTGATTGGGACATTAATAGGATGATTGTTCTAGAATGTGAGCATGCATTTACTATGGCTTATCTTGACCAGCAATTGGAGATGAACAGATTTTATGATGGTATTGATGGTGAGGCAGACTTTGAGAAGATTTGGACTGGAGTTCGTACTCTTCCAAACGAGTTAGGAAGCATTCATAGATGTCCACTATGTCGACGTCCAATTACTAATATAAGAAGATATGGAAGGCCTATCAAAAAGGCAATACTTGACATACAAAATAAGAAATTCTTGTCGAAGTATAGGAGCCTATTGCACAGTTATAATGAAAGAATTCAAATAAGTATCAGTACATTAGACGCAAATCGAGAAAAATTTCTCACAAATATCAAGAAACCCATTTATCTTAATTCAAATGAAAAGTCATCTGGAGTTTTTAAAATTCCAGGAGATTCCAATGTCAAAGAACTGGCCAAACTGAATGAATTCACAAACCTCCGCAAGAGTTACGGAATACCTCAACCTCATAACGATTACTGGATCAAGAATACTAATATTTTGATTCAAATATATGCAAGTCTTTCGCATCTACTTGCTGAAACTAAGAGCCCACCTTGGAAAGCGGCATTTGAAGCAGCTGTAGCAAGTTTATATAGATCAAGATTAATTGAAATGGATTATATTATTGAGACCATCAGGAATATGGGAATTGCAGAAGATGATGCTGATAGCACAATACTTGTATTACAACGTGAATCTCTTCACGGAGTAGGAATGGTACTTCCAGTTATTGATCGTCGATGTTATCTAGACATATTTTTTATTATAATTAACGTTCAAAAAATATTATTTCAAGAAGTTGATTATATAATTCAAGCGTTATCAGATAATGACCAAGATAACAGAAGTCTTGACACTAAACCTGGTTGGATTAATTTTGCTTTATTTATTCTTCAATCGACTATGTCACATCTGCAAGTTATAATCAAAGTAGCACAGGAAACAAAATACTATAAGCAATATGTGTCAGCTACCCTTGAACTAGCAGAAGTGCAATGTCGACATTACCGGTATAGGTTTAAACATAGAAAAATAGCCGAAGATCCAAACGATGCTACTGGAAAAGCAGAGAGGAAGAAGATAATTAACGAATTAAAAGAAATCCTCCAAAGATTTGAAACCCTCGTCCATGAAATCTTTCCTATTCTTCAGGCTGAACACTTTCAAAGCCAATGCGAAAAAAGAATGGAGGATACTATTGAGGAAATCAATGAACTTACGAATTTAGCAAAAGGAGGGGTGTTGACAAAAACGGAAAAATTGCAGATATTCCAAGCAATGAGTGAAGACTTGCGAGGTAGTGGGCACTGGTAGGCATAATACAAACTTACATATTCTAATTCTTTTCATAAACGCGAGCGTTAGCTTATTCAAATCGTTACTCAATTTAGGTATACTTGTCCTAATGGACACACTTATACTATTGCCGACTGCGGAGGTGCAGTGGTAGAGAGCAGATGCCCAGATTGCAATGCAGTGATCGGCGGTGAATATACTTATTTGATTACAATGATTTCAAGAAGGAACAAGTCGCAATTCTAATTAATTACCTATTTACTACTTTCAGGTACTGGACACACATTGGCGACTAATAATCGCCGCAATGAAGAATTCGAAAGTTTTAATCAGTAATGTCATTGTGTCTTGCGGGCTGGAGGCGATTATATAATATATTTATACGCGTAATGATATATATTTTGCAAATACTGATGTGTAGCGAAACTAGCGAAACTAGAAAGCTGATTGAATTTTTTGTATAATATTTTATGCACGCTTTTTTAAGACAAGTAAAATTTATTAATTGTCAGAGCAATGAATCAGCTTAAAATAGAAAGACGTACAATGTGGGTTCATCAAATTTCATCGAAAACCAATGATAAGTGCGATAAACAATGTGTCACGTGAAATGACTGTCACTGTCGGTGAAATAAATGCCTCCCACAATGCACATCAATTAATCCTACAATTAGATCAGCAGCTAATGCTGTAATGAAACGATAGAAATGTTGTAATATTCACTAGCGAACATTACCCTCCCTCGAATTCTCGACTTTTAGGATCAATTTCTTTAATCAACTCCGTCTTATTGAGTAGCTCTTCGATACTATAATAAGTAATTGTGCTGGTAGAGCGGAACTGTTTGAGTTACCTCGACCGATAGGGCTACCAGATATTTTATCCCACGGTAAAAATCGACGTAGTAACTCGAAGTTAATTAGCATTCCAGGATTAACGCATACGAATCGATCGTGAGTATTAAAGCCCAGCTAAAAGGTCAATACCTGTAATTCATGGAGGAGAGTTGCCACCTCGTTTGGACAAGTTGATTACCGATTGCTCTCCCACTGACACTTTACAAAAGATCATCCTACAAATGTGCAACACAATTTTGCTACCTAGTAAAGAGTTTTGAAACCAATCAAATGCTCATTATAACAGATGGTCAGTAGGTAACGGAAAGTGCATTTTTAGTGTTCAAACGTTAGGGCAGCCAATAAAGAACGCACATCTTTCGGTATGTGACAAAAGGCATAACGGCACAACTTTTGTGATTGGACATAACTTTAGAATTTTTTGTTTTACCAAAAAACTAAATACAGTATGTCTTTACACAATTTATTATATTCTCAAAAAAACTTAATGTCTAACAGTTTAAACGATACTAAATATTACATGCCACGAATAAACTTATACAGGGACTTTATTAATTCACACGAGTAAAAATGTAGATTAAGCAAAACATACAAACGATAGATTGGTTAAATATAATATCATCGACTATGTATTAATTGGTAAATAGAATTAATATTATTTGATAAATTTATGTTCAGATTAGTGAGTCAACAAAGCCTCTCAATCGAACTATTGACGACAATCCTCTCCCTGAAGTTGAGTTATAGTTCAATTTATGGTGAAGAATATGTTTAAGTTCCAGGTTATCCTGCTCTCTTTCAACCCAATTTGATGTACGCCATAATAATAATAGAAAGGGGGTTGTTTATCACATAATTGTGCAATTGCTTCCCGCGGGACCGTCGTTAGGATCAGAACCGTGTTTCTTCAATTCTGCAATGAGGTTTGTGATGGCAACGAAAGTAATTCCAGCGGATTTGTTGTCAGAGTCCATTTTAATCAAGTAGATGAATGCGTACTAGTTGGATAAAGATCAAATTTTCGCTCAAATGCAAAAGTATTGTTAAAATACGGTAGCGTACGTACTGTATTTATAATTAACAAGAATTGAATAGAAAATCGAACGCAACGCTTATTATTATGCCTAATAGTATGCATTGTAATTGTATACATTACAATATTTGTATATTATAGCGATCCATGAATATTGTTGTTTATTCAGCAGCCCGCAGCGCAACTACAATAAAACAATTGTTAGCATTCAGCCCGACGGTACTCAATTTCGCTATTGATAAATTTGAGAAGCAGAGATTGATATATTAACTTTATTAATAAATTATGAATTGAATCTCCCCATTATGAATTGAATCTCCACTATTATGAATTGAATCTCCCCATTATGAATTGAATCTCCACTATTATGAATTGAATCTCCACCATTATTAATTGAATCTCCACTATTATGAATTGAACCTCCACCATTATGAATTTCATAGCCCAGACTTTCAATTTCCTTGGTTACCACCATTAAAGTGGACGTCAAATGGTTAATGTTTAACTGTCAATTGTTTTATCTCAACAATCATAAATTGTCATGGTCGTCAAACGGCATATGGCATTTTATTTGTACACATATTTTTCATATGATCAGTGTGCAAGATAATGGCGTCAACTTAATTGTATTAGTCATCTAAATCGTCCGGGGGTGGCGTATGAAGAAACCTGCGGGAAACTTGACACTATTACTGTCAGCTTCATTTGACGACAATCGGTCGAAACGTCTCCTATGAAGAAGAATGCTCCATTGTGTGGTTGAAACAATATGCGGTCAATACCTATGTTACACGGCCTGTCATCTTTAAGATGATAAATATGGTTAACAAACAAATTAAAAATTGTCAAACATTAAATCAGGCCGGATTTGTTCATGTGTAACAGTGGGTATCGGTATTACGGCAAATCACTTTCTTTGCCTTATTCGGTGGTGGATAAAATGGGCAGTTTAAGGCGTATTTCCACTCTTTTTCTGAAGCATGTTCACCCTGAAATATATGAAGCAGACGAAGAACCGCAACACATTGGATCCAATCAGTTTATATTAGAAACTAAATTAAGAAGGCAAATGTTGTTTTTGTCACAAAACTGCGTTTGTAGACTTGCATCCGCATGCAATCCCTTTTTGCGAAAATATTGTTGGAACAATACTAGTTTCCATAGGACAATGCTATCGATTATCAAACAGGTTTCGATTTATGATATGTAATTGTAATCGTATAATGGTTTCGTATCGAACTCATGACATTTGCTTCCTATTGTTCTTGTGCCGATACGCTTAACATTGTTCTAAATTTGCATTCGTGTCACACTTACTATCGAGAACAATAGCATATGCATTAGCCGTAATGACAACTCTGACAATGCAATGCATATATCTATGATAAAGACAATGGACCATTTAGTATACGCCCTAGTCGCATCGACACTATAAATACACTTCGACTTCCACCTTTCCGTCTTTCATTATTCAAACCAAGATTCTTCAGCGAAGAATTACAAAATCAAAAAGACTTCTACCTGCTATAATATATAATATATCACAATGAAATCCACAACAAACTCTACCGCTTCACCTACCACCATCCTCGATACTGTCGCCGATTTGCTGGCAAATTACAAGAAGCACGGATCTAATCCTAACGACGGTCCGGCTGGTAGTAACTGCACGATCATGTGAAATGGAGCCCTCTGGCTATCAGACGGAAAATCGATGGAGAAGCATCTCGAGCATATTGGTTGCGCGCCAGTAACGATTAATAATCGAACTTTGTTAATTGAAACCAAATTTATAATATCAAAAGCAAAAATTCGCTGAACAATCTTAATAGTCGTATAAAGACGACTGGACTTTTTAATTTTACTACTCTCATTTGAGACTATCCACAATATGAATACTCTCTGTCTATCTCTAATTTATCTTATCGACATGAGGTCTTTTTGATTCTTGTATATATAATTACAATTGATGTGAAAACTAAATGTAGTTTTTCTTTCCTTAAACAAATGTTATTAATAAATTGATTAATCAACGGTTCTCCAATTTTAAGCTACTTGCGATTGGAAATATAAACATAGTGATCCATACTTTAGCTTAGATACGCCTCTAAAGCCCGATAATAGCAATTATTGTTTCCATGCAAAGGAATCGAACGGATGCAAATTAAATTATCGCAGAAGTTGACTCGGCGATTGAGATAACGCAAAATCGTTGCTTTAGAGTAGATCATTTCGTACTATTGAATGAAATATTATCGGCAATCATTATAATATGGTTTATTGTTTTACCAATTTGAAATAGGCACCTTTTTTCTACTACTACAGCAACAATAGTATATACAGTAAATGTGCTTATCCCGAGCTGGATTGACTCGATACATTATATTGTGAAACTCTCAACTCGTTGATCTTGTGCATAATAACCCATCAACAACATTGTTCTACCCTATATTCACCGCTTTTCATATCAACTTATATGCTTGTGGGGCTGTTCGATTTGATTAATTATCTGATGGGTTGATCGAATGGTATTTATAAGAGGCCGTATTGTTAATAATAGTCAGCGCTAAAAAGATCACCCTTGGGTTCGAACAATAAACTTAATACAATCATATTCCTCTTGTTTACGTGACATGAGTCATAATATTGTTGTATGCCGTATATAATTTTCCTCCGTCAAAGCATGCCAAAATGGTTAGTCTAAGCTATAACATGGAATGAGTGAGCGCATAGTTTTATGAACTGGACGTAACAGAAAGAGAGGGTTATGCTGAGCAAAACCTCCAGGTAGGCAGCGTGAGTGAGTAATCATGTTAACAATATCATTTGCATTGTTTGTTTATACTAGTTCTAATATATTACACGTAACATTGTGATAGCTCAAACAATGTCAACAGAAAATCATAGTATTCGGGCAAAGGAAGGCTTTTCGGAGTTGAGGCACCAATCTCAAGGTCACCTAATTAAGTACACACGTCTTAACCATTTATCTTACATGACAACCATTTAAACGTCTTACAGCAGTGATGGTTGTAATCCAGGGCAGGGCAATTGTGTTGAAAATATCAATGTGTTATGGATATGCACTGGACTGCTGACTCCAAACGCTCCAACTCGTACTGCCCAAAATAACAAAGAGCACTGTGTCGAGTCGACAATCACGGAGAGCAGTTGACTATTGACTCGTTTGGCTAATTTCGAGCGGAGTGTGGCGACTTGGTGTGATGCATAGACATAATTAATTTGTCCTCGAGTATGCCTTGGTTCTCTACCGTTGGGATCAATGTCGATTAGGGTATAAGTGTATTTCTGACTATAACAAACGCGTGTAGAGTAAACAATTAATTATCGTAATTGCCACGGGAATAATCACGGGACTTCTTGGGTTGCTATAATATCAATGGTTTTATCTTTGTAAAGAAAGCCTGACAACACTATCAGTTAAATCAAGCATACTAATACTATTAACACTTATTTTGATTCTATAGTTAATTTGTTTTCAAGTATTTGATATGGGACACTATTAACCACTCTCAAGGAGATTTAAGATTATAATGGCATTAGATGACTATGACATTTGTCGAATTAATTACTATTACCACGGCGAGCGATTGGCAATTAACCTTGAGAATTAACTTCTCCAAACGAGGCCGGCAATACCCTACTCTGCTCCCCTACTCTGCTCCCCTACTCTGCTCTGCTAAACTTATAGCCTTTAATTGGGTTTTCCATACTCACGACTCGTACGTCTCGGTTACTAATTAAACTCAGCGAATGCCTCTACTCTTATCAATAGAAAGTAATGTTTACATCAAAGAAACCAATAAATATTGAGTACAAATAATACAATTGATTGAACAATTTTTATTTGGAGACTCTATTGTCACATAAGTTTATTTAAATAACACTTATAATCCATATTTCTAAAATTTGACAGTCTCCAGTGTCTCCTTTGCTTTTGCTAATTCATCAGTACCCTCCCATGATGGATTGTTTATATTCTGAAAATAAACAACACCAAAGATCGTAAGCAGGATTAGAAGACTGGTTCACATGTGCTCTACAGTGGTGGTGATTTGAACAATCTTAGCTATCAATATGTTTTAAACACAACTCACCACAAGATTTTGTAACTCTTGGTATGCTTTTTGCAACCTGTTCTTACAGTCAGGGATCATCTTTAGTGTTTCCTCTAATACTTCCTTCTGGAATAGTCAATAGAATGATTACAGAAGGGTTACAGAATGAGCTTAACATTGAGCGAGTAACAGTGTTGATTTACATACTTGTTTTTTAATGTCATATTCGTCCCTATTCTCTTCAATAAATTTGTCAATTCGTTTTTGCTGATATTCCAGCTCGGTCGCATACGATTTCGATTCGGAATGGATACTAAACACTCACCGGTAACAGCAGGCATTTGTTTATTCATACCAACGTTAGACTAATGCTATCAGCCCTTCATAGTGAATATAAACGACTTTACTCTACCGTTTGACAATGTTTGTTTTGATTTTCAGATCTTTTAGGGACATTGTTATATTTGCGGAGTAGTAGTTTGATGAAAACAAGACAACGCAGCAAGTTAGTTTGTGTGCACAACGGACGACAACGACGCAGCAAGTTAGATGACTGTGAAACTGTTCGCAGGTCGCGTGACTGTTATTGTGACACAACTATATTATGACCAACGAAAAACTTTGCAATAATTGTAAATTTTGCATTTCCCTATTACAATTACTATATGGACGAAGTTTACAACTATCTTCATAACGTTTTGATTGACAAAATCGACCGCACAACCATTATAATTAGCACTAGCGATGATATTTATTACAAAGAAATTTTTTCAACGGTAATCCCTAACACTAAGGGAGAAAGTATTTTGCAACAACTCTCAGGAGAGCGAGACGCCTTACAGTTAGTTTTAGAATTTCCTAAAAATGAATAAAATTTTAATGCTGTTGCAGTGCTTCTGTTACTTTTTATTCTGGTAGTAAATTGAAAGCTAAGGGCCCCGAGACAAAGTGCTCGTTCCGGACTCGTAATTTCTTGCCAAATAAAGTGGTAAATCATACATGTCATATTAGAAGATTGATGCACGATTACTGATAATTACCATTTATGGGACCGACCCTTTACCTGATTGCTAATTTTAGCAACCTCGATTGCCAAATCTGATAGGGGAGTAGTGTGATGAGAGCACCACTAGACGTGAAAATTTGGGATTGTAAGACTAATCGCAATAGTAACCGTTGTTAGTACATCAATGGCAAGAAGATTTGCTGCAAATTTCATACATTGATAGCAAAGACGATCTCTTTGTTTTATTAATTTCTGCACAAACGTAAGTTGACTTGTAGATAATTGTGTCACAATAACAGTCACGCGACCAGCGAAATTTTGATGGTGATGATCGGCCGAAAGAATTTATATAAAATTCAATCCCACAAAAAGTGAGCAGTGCAATATAATGACAAATTCACGCGACTTGAAAGCACAAACGGAATCCCTTGTAGGGCGACTAAGAAGACGGTAATTAGATAAGGAATTTACAATTATCATAACGGTTTACTATATCATTCTTAACATACTGCTTTTATTTTTAGCCAGGTAACTGGTTCCTTCTCAGTATCACTCGCAACAGCCTTTCTCCTACGCTCCGTTATCTCGACTACTCGATGGACTGATGTAGACACATTAATCAAATTAGTAAAAAATGTTGGCAGGAAGTTGGTGCAGGCTCAGCCGAGCGGTAAGGCTAGAGAATGGTTATCAGGTCACAACTCTTACATTGTGAAATAATTGAAGCGATCCTATTTTAAATAATAGAACTGGCGGTGGGAAATATAGTGCGGCATGTGCTACGAGTAATTCGAGATGCTAGTAATGATGAAGCAACAGAAGCATCATTTATGGAGCACGCGGAAGAGTTAGGGAATCCTGATCATGAAGAAGAAGAAGAAGAAAAAGAAGAAGATGATGATGATGATGACAGAGATGATAAAACTCGTAGCAAAAATCTTTTCACGTCACAGTCTCATTCTGTCTTCAAGCAAAGTACAAGTTTACTGGACTATTCTGCTAAAGATTCAAGTGCAAGGTCTGCCGGATTCTATACTTCTTCTTCATCGATGATAAACTTACTAGGCGACAATGGATTGAGACAGCCTGTTCGTGAGCGAATGCAAAATATCCTTTTTTTTTTGAATGTAATCAACTATAATGTCAATTAGCTTTTACTGATAGCCAACAATAACTAAATAGTGACAATGTTTATTCCATAACTTGCAAACTATACATTTGAAGCCAAATATCATACAAGAGATAAACGAAATGATTAACGAGCTTGAGAATATGTATGTTAATATATGGGACCAGGCTATGGAACATATTCATACAAAGTGAGTATATCGATTTGGTTTTGGTATAAAAATGCGTTTTCTCATCTCTGTTCGAATTACCATTGACAAACAGTGAGATAATAATGACACTTGGATCTTCAAAAACTGTGGAAGGATTCCTCAAAGCAGCAGCAAAAAAGCGCAAGTTTTCTGTAGTTGTCGCTGAAACGTCTCCCAGGTTAGGATTATTGTGCCCCATAACTTGTTTTTTTTTTTAGGTTCCGACACCTTTTTCTTATATTATTATAATTGATAGATATCTGGGTCATGATCTTGCTTTATCGTTATGTCAAGTGGGAATAGACACGACTGTAATATCAGACTCTGCTATATTTGCAGTCATGTCGAGAGTCAATAAAGTCATTCTGGGAACTCATGCTGGTTAGTCAGAAGCAAAAATGTAAATTATATATATCGTTCGGTTAGTTAAAGCATGCCACCAATTGGTTCTCTTAATTGACAGTGCTTGCTAATGGAGGACTCATAGCAATAAGTGGCACGCGACTCATGGCAGCAGCAGCTAAGCATCACTCAACACCGGTTGTAGTTTGCATGGGTCTCTACAAACTGTCCCCACTATTCTTATATGATGAAGATTCATTTAATGATTTGGAGTCTCCAGAAAACGTACTGAGTTTCGATGAAGGTAAGTGGTGAGGAATGTGTGATAGTGACGAAGGATTGGTTAAAAGTCGGTGAAACGGACTGGCGTTGGGATAAACTTTTTGATAGAATTAATCTATTCTGCACTTTGTAGGCGATCTTGTTGATAAAGCTACAATCTTGAATCCATATTATGACTATGTGTCACCTGAACTAGTAGACTTATATATTACAAACACGTAAGTGATGAAGAAATTGAGTGCCGAGCCGGTATGCATTGTGATGGATGTTTCACTGCTAACTTACGGTCATTATTTCGGTGTTTTGTAGAGGTGGCCATCCACCATCGTATCTATATCGGTTGATTAACGAGAATTACGATCCTGAAGACACTGTTATATAAACTGGAAGATTGTTGACTGTTCCAATATTCGAATAGGATTAAATAATTTATCACTAATGCTAAGTGCGTACACCTTCTATAAACTAATTGTTAAATCGAATCGTTTGTGATTGTTACACGTAATTCTCCTCGTCATCGCTAATACATATTATAGTTGATATATCAATCAATCCTCGGATTAATAAATTAACGTAAAAACAGAACTCTCCAAGTACAATTCGTCAGATCGTATAGTTAAATAGACGTTCACATTAATTGCAACTCTACATTTATAGTGAGCAGAGGCAAAATATAAGATTGGGAACTTAAAAGAGGTTTACAAAATGATCCCACTAATCGGCCTCAGCTCTACAAGTGAGGATGTAAACGTAAATGATTAGTGATAAACTATCACACATTTAAAAAAAGTCATGCTCGTCAAAACTTTAGCTACAGTTGATCTGGAGTTGAAGTTGGCAGTTAAACATCTGTATATTAAATGTGACGTAGTTCAGGCGAGCTAAACCCCCAATGACTTGCTTATACAAATTTAAACCAGTCTACATCTATTGACGGCCAAATGAGATGATAATGTCCCATAGAAAGTCCCCTCATATCATATTCACGCGCCGCTTGTTTGAGCCATACCGTGAAGATATGATCATAAATTGATGAATTCTCTCCCGAAAGAGGAACGGTTATATCTGTGAGCGAACCTCACTGAATGTCGCCACTCCTAATTCTACAAAAAGATCGTGATTACATTGTACTCTGATGGAGCTGGTATCGATTACTGTAAAGCAAAGGGGACTCTTCATATATTCACTTGGGCTAGGAGAAAGCTCTTGATCTGTTTTTCGTAAACATTTTCTGCACATACCTTCTCTTTTGCTGTTACTCAAGCAATTTTGCTGATATGTGGCATCAACTTCTATCATATTCACAAATCCATACATAATTCGCTAATTTACGAGCGTTGTTATTAATATTAATATTAACAGAAACTATAATCTATTGTGAGATACTGTATGTGTTTAATTCATCCATTTTGTTAGAGATGAATTCATAAAATATTTAGACTAAAATCTCTCCACCATTTCAAGCTAATACTAAGCTCTCCGTCTAATTTTTCAACGAATATTGCTAAATAAATAATAAAATATAACAAACTCGAACAGACGATTTAAACAATGAGGAAATTAGGAAACAGGATGACGTCAGGTGACTATATATTTGTACCCCAATACGAAGATAATCACAAAACTCTCTATAGCGAACATGCCTGAGCTTATTAACGCCAACCCGACTGTCTATATCCCTTCAAAACAGTCCTATCGTGTCACTCGTGCTGAGGATGACAACGAAGATGTCGACGATGTCATTGATTCGCAAGAAGTTTTCGGTAATTTGTATGTTGCTTCTACAGACTGGTATTACAAGAGAACGTTTTCTTCTCAACCTCGTTCTTTTCATTACTTTCAGATCTAATTCGTGCAATATCGGATCCAGAGCATCCTTTAACACTCGAACAATTAAATGTTACACGACTAGAGCACGTAGCAGTGGACGACAAGAATAACCACATAGCAGTCGAATTCACACCTACAATTCCACATTGCTCGATGGCTACTCTAATCGGATTATGTATCAGAGTACGACTGTTGAGAAGTCTGCCCGAGAGATTCAAGGTCGATATTAATGTGAGAAAGGGAACTCATCAGTCAGAGCAGGCTGTTAATAAACAATTGAATGATAAGGAGAGGGTCGCTGCTGCATTGGAGAATCGTCACCTGCTGGAAGTAGTCAATCAAGTAGAGTATTGTAATTTGGTGGCATTAAGTGACGATTAAATTAGTCGCTTAGCTATTAACATGATATATTCTGATTCTTAGTGCTTGTCGACGGCTAGTAACCGGAAAACATAATTGCGTTCTTTCATTATACTGTACATTCGCTTCGTTAATATTATTAATTAATTCTATTAAACGACCCCCGATGATGTTTCTTATTAATTTTATTATTCTTTTTTATTAGATAAATCCCTCTAAAAAATTCAAGTTTGCCAATGCTTTTGGTAGACGAGATAATGATAAATGACAAGGGATGATTGCACGAAATATTGAACTATATTATAGTTGTTTTTTTTGCTTGTATTTTCTTTTCTTCTTCAATCTCTAAATCCTCTATGTAATTTATGAACGTTCTATACCGATGCGCATCAAGAAGCCAAAATATAAACATTGTCCTTTGCAGTAAAACACAAGTATTCGGTAGCTGTAACCAATCGTTTCATCCTGTACAAATAATAGTTTCAAAGAATGACTGTGGATACAACGATATAACAACTAACGAATGAAAATAAAAGAGAGTATTCGAATAATAAATCGGCTTTGCGTGAAGCATTACTTTCTACTTTGTCGGATATGGTGGATCTATTATCTTTTGCCTTGTACTGACAAAAAGAGGGCATGGCAAAATATGGCCGGTTAACATACATGAGCTAATCCGTAACATACATAACAAACCTACAACTCATACCTTGCACGATCAATCGTATTTAAAAAAGCTGCAACTTCATTTCGCAACTTTTCCTTTATTTTTCTCTTCGTCCCTCCTAACCCTGAGGACAGCTGAACGGTGGTCACACTCTCCATATCGGATGTAACGGATGTCCCGTGTTCACTTGAATCGTTCGTCTGGCCTATATCCAACGCATACTGAAAATCCGTCACCTTTTTGTCTATCTTCTGCAACTCACCCGAGCCATTGTCCATCACCATTATCGATGTTAATTTTTGAGGATCTGCCACCTGTATTCTGAAGACTTCGCGTTTAATGTTCTCGAATCCTCCTTCGGGCGTCCATTCAGTCATCAATTTCTCAGATAGATTCGAGCCAACAATCTCGTTGAGGTCTTTAAGATTAACAAGTTGGGACACTATAGCTGAGCGATCGAGCCAGAGGTCAACCGGGGTAAGGGCGGATTCGTCGATTGTGGGAGTGGTCAGTGTGCGCGGATTTATGTCAAGAGACCATTGATTTTTGGAGAGGCGTTCATCTTGAATCTGTGAGGAAATTTGGTATTAAAAAAAGTTAATTCGCCATGTTGAGAATCAAACAGAATTAGACCACTATAAGCTGAATACGCGATATAGCTTAATATTGTCTCACCTTTTCGAGGTACGTCTGTAGATCAGGCAAATCAAACATTATTGCAACTTCTTGGAAGTATCGCAATATGCCACTTGCAAGTGCTCGCTGCCGAACATCATCAACTTTTAATTCTGTAGCATCCGCCTAATAAGATGAATCGAGTGAGCAAAGAACACACGTAGAACATAAGTATATGTATATAATATATAATACGTCGCTTACCTGTAACTTGAACAAGAAAGGCACAGCTCTAACAAGCTGCTCGCCTCTAAACCGAACCAACAATGCTTTTAAAATGTCCAATAGTGCAATGTAGTCCGAAGCCTCCGCGTTATCCATTAAAGCATATTGATACAAGGATACGTGTATCATATTCAAAAATTGTATTGTATCTTTACTAAGATGCTTTAAACATTCTTGGGCGCTATCCCTCAAGTTTTTTGATATTTCGCCATTAAGGAACGTGACCAATACGCTCGCGTAAGCCCTTCTTACCCTAACGTCAGTGTCAAGACACAGCTGTAGACTATCTTGAAATACTTCAACCGGTACTTCGACAGGCGGTGATTCGAGTTGATTTTTTTGAACAACTAGACTAAGGCACCTAAGGAGTGTTTTACGCTGTTCAGGTGTAGGCGTGCCTTCAGTGATTGAATTATCGATGTCCGAAGATGGAAGCGTCGACTGTTCCAAGCGTAGATATTTGACTATGTGATGTATAATGTCCGTTATCTGGTTGTTGTAGTATATGTGGGTCGCTAAGCCGCCTAATGAGGAAAGGAAAGCGTAAATATACTATAGTTTCAAATAGATATCTTTATACAACGACAACATTGCTTACCGATAGACTTATACAACTCTTGTAAAGTAATCTTTTCTAATTGATCCTCTCTTTCATTCTCGACTTCTTCCATATTACCCATGTTCTCTTGCTTGATCTCTTCTTTAAGAGAGGCTTTCTCATCCATGAAATTCTCCACTTTCCTCAATTTTAATACCAAATGTAGTAAACAATCCAACACCTCTAAAATGGGTAATCCCGCGAGAGTTAATGGGCTGGTAAGAATGGATGAAAGCATCTGTACCAAAGTTGCTTTTTGAGGTGTAAATTCGGGCGTATATTCTAGTTGTCCTTTTATAACTGATACGAGAGTGTATCGATCTTGAGGCTATTGATAAAGAAAAACATATTAATGGAAATCATGTCATAGGTGAATTAAAAATTATATAGTGTAATTATTTATCGGCACTTACAGGTAGCATAGACAATATACACAGAACAAGGGTAATTCCAAATGACTTTGGCCACCACATTTCGTTTTTATCCAAAAAGACAAATACTGGTTGTACTGACCATTCGACGTGTGTGAGCTTTGATGGATTGAATAATTGCTTCAGGCAATGGTATGCGAGTCGTGCGTTAGCCTCTGCTGATATTGCCTCTATTGTTATAGATAACCTTTGGTTTGGCACAGCCTCTTCATCGAGTGAATCACTAGTAAATGTGAGAATAATAATGTTGGTTATGAACAGGTTGAAAGTGTCAACGTCCATAGATATTGTCACGTCAACACAAATACTGACTGTTTTTGTAACGCTTCAAGGCCGATACTCGAATCAGTAAGGTTGTATAATATGGCAGGGACAATCGATTCAAGTTGAGTCTTTGAATAACTTGCTGATGATGTTGTCACCGCTTGTAAAGCATGTAAACCGATCGAACGATATCTAACCAATACAATGAATGAAACGGATTAGACAAGAAATTAGCAATCCAACAACCAAGAAGATTTTAGTTGTCACATAGTTTATTATTACCGACCTCATCTCAATATCTTTATCATTGCTTTGACGTGCGGCGTACATTGCGAACTGCTTGATCAACTCTTCATAGTTTTGGGTAAACTCATTGTCAACACCGAGTGTAGAGCCATCGTGATGTGCGCAGAATATGATGAACTATTCGAATAATATAAATTGATGTAACCATAAGCATTGAATACTTGCAAGAGGATAATGCAGAATAATTATTTGGATAACGTACAGCAGATGCAGCATGGCCGGCCAGATCAATATCTTCAGTATTCAAAGTAGCGATAATGATTTTGATTACATTTTTGGAGAACATATTGAGACCTTCATTACATTCTCTTATGAGTGTCTTTATGATTTCCAAGGAGATTCCTAGATCTCTACGAGTGAAACAGAGGGCCATAGAATATTAGTGAGGATCGTTATTATATAGTATATCAGAATATTAGTTGTGCACAATGTTATTTGGTCGACTGGTTAGCCGCTATTCGGACCTGTCAACATTGTTAGATTGTTAATTTCTTTCAGTTTTGTCGAATCTGACTATTAGTAATTGCTCTAACACCCATTATCTTTAGTAGACTCTAATCACATTCACTCTACCCTCGTTGGATTTTCTCACACGTACTGTTTCCTTCTCTTCGCCACGTCGCCACTGATTCTCTTTTCCAGGTATACCCCACATTTAGTCAGCTTTGCGGGTCGGGATTTGGCATACCATACCAAACGCGACAGTTCACTAGATTTTGGAGATTTTTCTTCTGGATTTGTAGGATAGCAGTTGTTTATAATGGTAGCATGCTTTATCCAACGTTGACAAACTGCTGTGCACATTTGAAATTGTTATACTCTGTTGTTCTATAAAAGGGGGAAGGGATTGCGAACTATAAATTACAAGACGAGTGAATGTGAACGTGAGGTGTCTGCTATATATTAATATATTAATATATAGGTATAGACCGACAATATGTATAAGATAGGGGTGTTTAGATTATGTGATGTATATGTGATGCGTGTTTTTTGCTGGATATCTATCAGGAAGGAAAGGAATGGCGTAGGTGGCTATAAAGCGAAACTCAAATAAGGAAAAGAGAATGATGGGAAGGGATTATTAGCGGACCGAAAGCATCAACCAAACAGTTTGTATGTAATCGCCTGTGCCCAATGTGACAGATGTCATACAAGCCAACAATGTCACCAATTAGACGTTAAGGTTTTTCATATGGAATGAATAAATAAAGCTAAACAAAGGATTCCCAAGCTGCGTAAAAGAAAAAGAATCCCAATAGCTAAGTTGAATTTAATCGAGAGACCGCAAGCTTGGACCAGCCCAAGAGGGCGATGCTATCATGCTATCGCCAAGATTGAATGAGCTAAAAAACCAGACAAGATATGCTCATTCTCTGATGCAAGTGCCACATCTCTAATCAATCATAATGACGTTTTTCGTCTATCGTAAATTTATGTTACGGTGTTACCTGCTTATACTTATTAAAGCAGGTTACTTTTTATAGTTACTCATTGAACAATATTAGTTTACCTTTATTGGAAGGCACGTGAGAACTGATTGACTAATTCAGTCGAATGTAACAGGGTGTATATCCTATTATATTTATATTTTTATTATTTTTGGTATTAATATACATGAACTTTGATTATAGTTTTGAATGGTGGCTAGTGCCATTGAGCAGTCTTCGCCAGCGTTATCCTCAAGCCATAGCGATCCTTCATATGTTTAACTCGATAGCATTTGTTCTTTTGTGTTCTTAACCTTCTATCTCTAAGATCGGACATTATCATAACTAATTATTTCTTTAGAGAATAGTTTCCTTCTTGCTAGACGAATGATTTTACGCTGACCATTATCTTTCATGATTCGTGTTTCGTAAAACACTTGTTCACAGACGAAGACGAATAATATATCACCGAAGGTCAGGTTTAACAGATGTTCCTGCTAAAACGTAGCAGACAAAGAAATGCCGCTCATATATAAAATATCTAATACCCGTTATATATTATATCGTAGATATTATCTCGTTAATGAAGGTTTAGTTTCAGCCTCAACATTAATATTTCTCTTTCCACTGTAATGCTCCGATTGGATTTTCATCAAGATTTCGCTTCGTGTCTCTATCACACACTATGGCTCCAATATTCTACTAACATTTTGGCATAGGTTCCCCCTCATTGACGAAATAATTATTTTAACTTGAACGGAATAACGATAAATTCACAATAACGGTATTTACAATAATGATGGATTCACAATAACTTTTGTATGTTACGAGTATCAACGTTCTAACAACTCTCGGTGTCTTTATTATCACGAACGCCTTTTCTGTATTAAAATAAGGTCTTATAATCGCAATCTTTCCAAACTGAACACTTCTCATGCATTCCTTATTAGTCGCCAAGATGTTACGACAAAGCGTCGATAAACGAATACTCTGCTACTTGTCTTATTAATCGCGAAGAACTTATAAAGTGTCAATTCAGAGAATAATATACGTGGAGTGGCTGAAAAGTTCTGATCGTGGACATTTATCTCAACGTATTTAAAAACAAAGACTATAGTTGCAAGCCTGAGGTTCCAGTGGACAGCAGAAGCATGAATTGACCAGGTAATTGTACATTTGTCGACGGTACCCTAAAACAATTGGAAAATAACCATGGTTAGAAAGAATGGAAATTTCTAATTCGTCATAAAAATTAGGAACGACATTGATAATTTCTCTGAACACGCCACATGACAAACCCTCGTGACTTGCGAAATTTCAATGTCTGCAAACAAATGTTTCAAACACCCGACATTTGATTTTAGAATACTGCAAATCACTTCATATGTATTATAACATTATGAATATAATCTTTATAAATTCCTATCTCCATACATTTCTAAGCAATTTGCATGATCCCTTTCGTTGTTCAAACAATCTTTAGGAACTGCATAGAGCGCATGGATTCGTAGTATTCGATCGGAATGTAATCGTTACCATAGATCGTCTGCAAAATCTCCGTCACGTGATTTTTATTTATGACAATGGTCACATCGCAAATCTCTAGACAAAAAAAGATTGCAAGGGAAATGAATTTTTGAAATTTATATTTAAATCGTTTTTTTTTCCAATTGTTTTAGTGTACCATGAAAAAATGAATGCTACTCAACAACTAGCATGTCAACTCGCACCAACTTTTTTTTCACTTGTTCCTCAAAACCTCAAGCTTTGAATCTTTGTCGTTATTTTTAGGCAAGACCAGCACTTGTCAAGATAAAATCCACGATCAGAACTTTTCAGCCACCCTACGTAATAACCGAATACTTCTCATGCCCTGCTTATTAATCGCCATAATTTTATAACGAAATAATTATTCCGTAATATGTCTTATTAGTCGCTAGGGAATTCTTACATCAAAGTATCGGTAGAGAACAAATAATACAATACAACAACATTTCCAATAACAAATAACGGAAGCCACCCAGGGAAGTAGTTTTACTTCAGTTGTACCTTCAGCAGTAACCAACTTACTTTTGCCGCCTGAGGAAAAGGTCGGTTATATAATAAATTTTATATCACATCACCAGTACTCCCCGATGAACTATCACTATTTATGATCAAGTGATCAAATACATGGGTGTGAATTTTCGACCAATCAAATAATTCCGTAATAAATAGCAAAAATCGGCTATTTGCAATTGTTCTAACTGCGAACTTGCGGCTCATTGTTGTTATGGGTGTGGTGTTACCGTTGTTTAGCGCTCAGGAACATTCAGTGTGACTGACTCTATGCATTGTCTTTCTTGCATATGTTAACTACAATGTATTGATATTAATATTATGAAGTAAATTTTACAAAGCATGATCAAAGTTTAACGGATCTGAATAACGAAACTTTGTCTCTGACTGGTTTCTTGTCAAAAAAAAATGCAGATCACCATAAAGCAAATAGATCCCCCTTCTCGGGATTCAAATAAAAGGCCCTGCCCCTATAATAATAACGTTAACAAAGCTAAGTTTGCAGAGCATGCCGGTATCATCCGTAAAGCATTGATCCCCCGCCGTAGAACATGGAAGTATGTACCCTTTCTCAGGACTTGCATCAAAGCCTCCCACGTTTGCCTGTTAACCCAACATCCTTTCTGACTTATCTTCTACAAGTAAATTTAAACAACATTTGAGCTCATCAGTTCTCGTAGGAAAGAATCAGCGGTGCCGTGATATATCCGCAGTTTTCACTGATACCGTTATGATTTATATTTATTTGCGACATGATATCAGACGCATAAGCATAGTTCATCTTTGATATCACAAGTCTCTTCATCTTCTTTTTGTGAACATTAAACATGGTTTTTTTGCAAACCATCCCAAGACCGTATTCCCTATGCTAGAAATGCAATACATTCGGAAAGTGCATTGTGTCATTTGAAATTTAACCCAAGAATAATTATATAAGATAAACGTGAATATGAAAACTCTAACTGAACATCGATGCATATCATTATCATTCTTTAAATTGTTTGTTAAGTTGTAATTCACACAATTTGGTTCACATGTCCACACAGATGTTGGCATCTATTTCTATCGTCTGCACAATACATTACCAGTACCAACATAAGCTATCTTTTTCTACCTTATATTGTCCACTCGATTTTGCAAGTTCAAGAATATCGTCGACTCTATTTGCGGATTTTCTTATACCTGAAGTTTCCCATTCAATATAATCTGTGGCTTCAACGCGACGTAATTTAATAAATCCCTCACAGATTAACGTATAAACAATTAATCGTGCATTTATCAAGAGAGGACGGTTTACAGTATACCATTCGGCTGCACGGCCAAAACAGTATTTCATTTTATTGTAAATAATTTGATTTCATAGACATTCTTAACAAGCGAAGCGATAAAGTAAAGACGAAAATTACATAATTAGTAATTCGTATTACGAGTCACGACAAAATCAAATAATACTATACGAAATTATGTGTTATTATTATGCACTACCTGCATATTTATCAAACAAAATAAACAAAAAATTATTATTATTATATTCGAACAGGTTATTTGCGGTCTTTATTAGCCAGACCTATAATTCCTATAGTATTTGCTTAAGAAGAAACGCGTTTTATACAACTACGATTACATCCCAACCTATAGACTTCCGAAATAATCCCATCGGAAGAGAATAGTGGACATACTCGAGGACAACAAATTAATAATCTCGGATTAGTGTCTACCGATCAACACTAGGTCGTGAGTAGCAAAGCTGTCACTTTATTTAACTAAAAGTAGGGATTGCTCTCCCGCAATCGTTTAATAATGTCCCGGTCATTGTAGGAGTGTGAATTACATTATATAGCATGCAAACGGCTTAGAAATCGCCATTTAATAAATGAATATTTGAGCATCTTAAACAAACATACTAATACATATGCGAATCAGTAAAATGCGTAAATGCATCTCAGTTGACTGTATATTCTTCAGTAATTCCACCTTTATCGATTTTAGCAAATTCTCGTTAAACCGAAGCCGTTCGTGCAAGACGTTAGCTTTGGTTCAACGGAACATTTAATTTACCATAAATTTCTACGAAATGACGGATTGTTCGTCTTCAGTATAAGGGAGCCACTATGTAGAAAGGATATGTAAAAGGTGTCACATTAATTCCATTACATTGTGAAATTTATATTTTCTAATTGATGCAGTTATGCCATAAAAAATTGAAAGGCTAGTAATAAATATATCTAAGATATCCGTTACCCAACCAATCATATCGAATTTGCCAAACGTACTCATTCCTATTGGCTGAAGACCAAAATTCCATTATCATTATTAATAGCTAGTTACGAGCATATATGAAAATCGTATCAACAAGAGGTATTATAAATAATACCTCGGGTTTGATTTTGTAGCTTGTTATTGTGAATGCAATTTGGCCGCCTGATGATATAATTTATGTGCTGCAATCACAAAGGTAAATATAATACTCTAGACTATGTATAATAATAGAAGTGTCTATAAGGCTTATTTGATAACAAATGTGTATGCATATCATAAATAACTCTTCTGCCATAGAGGTGCCATATATATACAATCATATATACTCATACTTCAATTATTGAAGGGATAGATCACCTGATCCGATTGATTACCTGATCGTATAACTCATTCTGCGATTCTAAAGTGTGATCCACAGGATATTGTCGCAGTACAAGCCCATCCACTGGATACTCGGCGAGAACCTGATCAAGCAGATATTGTTCTACAATAGATTGTTTCTCAGCCATTACCTGATCCATTGGAAATCGTTCAAGTATAAGCTTATCCACCGGATATTGATCATGGCCCAGTAGATATTGCTTAAGTACAGTCTGATCCATTTCCGACCGATACTGATCAGCCATAAACTGATACACTGGGTGTTGCTCAACTATAATTTGATTCACGTCTGACTGGTATTGCTCAGCAATATCATAATTCACTGGATAGTGTCCAACTATGGCCTGATTTGCTGGATACTGTTCAGCTGTAATTTGACTCAAAGGAGACTGCTCGGCGATAACGTGGTTCATTGGAAATTCAAGCTGATCCACCGGATACCGCTCAGCGACCGAATGATTTATTGCCTGATACGGCTCAAAAATTACCTGATCCACTGTCTGATACGACCCAGAGATGACCTGATCCACTGGCTGATACGACCCAGAGGTGGCCTGATCCACTGGCTGACACGACTCAGAGATGACCTGATCTACTGTCTGATAAGCCTCAGAGATAACATCATCCATTGACCAACATTGCTCAGATATAACCTGATCTACGGGATATTGCTCAGCAATAGCTTGACTCGCCTCTGATTGACATTGCTCACTGATATCTTCCACATACCCACACTCATTCTCAACCTCTCTACTGCAAAATTCACCACATTCGTCTTTTCTGCTCTCTTGCTTTTTGTTTGCGTTCTTATTATAGTTCCTACGCGTCATGATCTTATCTTCGTTTACCTCGATGAACAATAATTGGGACTTCTTTTTCTGCCTTCTCCCTCTCGGCTTGTAAGTATATTCGGGATGTATAATTTTATGACGCTGCAAAGCCAACTTGGAAAGTGCGTTAAAGTAACGCTTTACCGTAAAGGGCTGACGTTTCCAGTCTTCACTAGCCATCTTTGATATTTCTTTAAGATTATAAGATCTTTCGGGGAATTTGGCACGCAGATTGCTTGCGAAAGCTATTCGGAAAATAAGCCATAAATTTTTTGCGCGGGGAGGAGACCTTTTTCGGGTACGACAATCCAGAAGAGTATTGAGAGGGACATTGTGATGGTAAGGTGGATATTGTACAAGATTATATTCGGCGGGAGTAAGCACCGTAGATGTGGGAGTCGTTATAGAAGACAGATCGTTAGAAGAACACGCTCTGGGCGAAGTCATTGGCTTCATTGGACCGTGGCAAGCTATTCCTTTCTTTTCCTCTTCACTATAAGACTCTTGGGTATTTATAATTGAATGATTTTACAAACACAACAGCTGTGGTGACCGCTAATGACGTACCCATTATGACAATTTAAGGACGTTGTCTTTGGCGATCGAATCAATTTGTCAACCGTATGATGTTTACATTGTTCGTGATAGCAGTGCATAAGCGTGCATGTATAATGGGAGTGATGTGCGTCTACTGCAATGGCTTTACCATTAACCGAATGTGGCTATAATAATTCTATCTCCTCCATCTGTGTTAAAAATGAAAACGTAGAGGTCAATTTATTTTCTCTTTCGACGTTATCATCCGCTTGACATAGACAGCCAGGTCTTGTCATAATTTAATCAATTCATAATAATATGGACAAATGAAATGAAAGCAAGCAAAAGAATGGTGTTTAATATTATTGCATATCCACCAAACATTTTATACTACAACCATTATAGCAAGCTTTATTCTAAAGATATGTAAACAATGCCGCATTATAACTAAATGGATACCGATCTTCGCTCTGCGTCTATTAGTTCTAACATCGATAGCACAAAAACACCAATGAATCGACTTTATTTTAAGCACTTATTCGGCGCTCATTTGATTGGTTTTCAAAGAAATAAACATTACCTCCATTGTTAATGCACGATATGTTAATTCTCCTTTGATAACGATAAAGGTTAGTTTCAGCAGGTATGAATCAGAATCTAGGCACACAAGCTTGCATGTCGGCGACCAAGATCATTAATCGTTGGTTGTCTTCTATAAATCAGCCGTTGAATTCACGGAATGATGTGAGAGCTGTCTGCGTCATACCTGCAGTAATTGCATCAATGAAGATTTATTTGGATGATCAACGACCATTTATGGTAGAGCAATAATAAGTACCAATTACAATGGGTGTTTAAAGACTAAAGTTTGGGAAATGTCTACAGATCTGCAGTTGAACAAAAGTTCTCCTGTCTAATATGATGCTAGTATGAATTGGGTTTTCTGACGAATGCTTGTAGGTTCCTTTGTAAATGCAGGGAATAATGTGAGATTAGCGATTTGACGAATGATTTTACCGATAGATATAGATATTTCTCCTTTTATTGTGATCTAAAAAACCTTATTTAAAAAATGTGACTCAGCAAGAGCAAAGACTGTGCATGGTTGGATAAGATCTTGTGTCTCGATTCACGACTCGGTGAATTAAGAATTCGGCGAATTCTGATAATGATCAGAGTAATTGGGTTAAAAATGAAATCCAGATTTTGTCATGGAATTTGCACGGCTCACTACGGACAGGCATTTATACACCAGTTGTCGCCTCTCAACAAAATCGGGACGAATACGCAAAACTCATTACTAACGCTCACTTTTCATTGGTTTACTTGCCAATAAAGATTAGTAGTTTGGTCGTTAATAATGTAAATTGTGTGTAGAGGTTATATATTTGTGCTTGTGCGTACAAGGGGAATAATGGTGGGTTTGTGATTTTTGATTTGTTTAAAAGAAACATATTCTCAAGACGACTCTGGATTCACTTGGCGGACGGGGAAGGATATAAATTGCTAATGTTGCAAGCTAGTATTGCGTTACCGCTTAGATTTCGCAGATGTCTAGACCCTGTTTCCTAGAAGGTGATTTAAATGCTCCAGTTCACATAGCGATAGCATTTTTGTACAAGCCTTGGCAGGCGATCCGTGCTCCGTGTGACTAATTATCTTGGCATTTCTCATGACGGGGCAACAAAGTGAGTGAGAAATTGAGTGACGTATGCCTTTTGTTGAAGATTTTACTCGACGCGATTTCTTGAAGAAAGTTAGAAAATCGATGGATGGATGAAACAGAAAGACTGGCAAATGGTGGAGAAGATATTGATGATGAACTGGAGAAGGATACCAAGGCTTACTATAAAAATAGAACATTACACGAAAAAAAAAAAAAAAGAATTAGCCAAAACCTTAGTTACCGCAGGAATAACTTTAATAGTGAAAGAGTCATACGACGTCATGCCCCATATATCCATATTGATAGAATGTACATTTACTAACAAGAAGGAAGTCTTCAACTAAAACTGTCATCAATGCTATTAGTTAATTGCGCCTAATAATAACTCATACTAATCCTCTACACTATGCGCATGTAATCATAGGGTCTTTTGATGAAATAACATTTCTTTTTCTCGAACGTATTCAATAAGATTGAAAACGTTCACAATCGAGAATATAACGAATTATAAGTGATCTTTTATTTCTCCATATCCCCTCGGGAACTGTGATAATTTAATTTGCCAGTTTTGTAATTTATTTAGGCAAGGATATTCCAAAAGGAATTGGCTATGAAATTTTCACGTAAAAAACCTGAAACATTAAAAAAACTATAAAAAATACAATATACATGATCTCCCCACCAAAATTATTAATCCCAATTAACTATGATTGAAGCTGATATATTAATCCATAATCATCCTTGTGTGAGTATAACCACACATGCTTATGACCATGCTTGTGATGTTTCTTCAAAACATCTCTTATCTGTATCATATATTCGCGATAATTGGCTGGCACTGCATCGAGAACTAAAACGTGTGTGATAAATGGAATAGGGTCGCAATTGGTAGGTGTTAAAAATGAATAATACTAGTGTTTGTAACATATTATCGTCAATATATATTCACCCTTTTTAAACGAGTCATCTTCTAAGACGTAACAATTAGATAGTTTCTTGAGTAATTCCTTATTTATATCGAGTGCCATAATAGGCACATTGCCAGACTTAATATCATCTATTATAGTATTTATATTCAAATGAGCTATAAATACAAAAAGGTGTTAGTTTGTTTAATATCATACAAGCATTTTCCTTAATTTCTCCATTCAACCACACACCTTTATCAATAAGCAATTGCTTCTGCTTATGTTTCATCTTCTTATTAGATTGCAATGAAACAATAGTAACTGGAAGATTCGAATAATGAGCTGAAGATTCTATTGACGTTGATTGATTCGCTGGTATAAAGTCTGATAATAACACTAATAGACAATTATGACCATTAACCCTAGTTCGTTATAAACAATAAACCGTTTAAAATGACAACTTTAACGTACGCTGATCTGACTGCGATATAGAATGATGCCTATGCATTCTAGCACCGGATATTTGGTCAATCCTCATCTGATCCTGAATCTCCGAACTCAAATACATACACAACTCGGATCGGGGTACTAATATACGTAATAAAAGAAATTAATCACTTGCCAAATGCCTCCAGGTTTTATAGCCTTATATGTCATCATTACATATGTTACATGACAAACCTTCGACTTCCGTTTTTCTTAACACATTCTTCACCTTCACGCTAATTCCACTATCGCGTGAATTCCCGGATTTATTATAATGATCTTGTGACTTGTGCCTCAAGATCGCAATCCAGTTGATTCCTTGGTGTCGACAATTATGAATTAGCATTTCTGGTGTTAAATAAGCTCCATCTTCATACATAAAGTCTGCTCTGATGTTGTGAGACCAGAGTTCACGGACAACTTCAAGGCGTTCAGCAAGTTGTACTTTGCCAAAGCTAGCTATATAAATGTCGCACTAATGCAGGGAGGGGAAATTATGTGTAAAGCATGCGTGAATTTGTGCAGTGAGTCTTTTGCAAATTTATCGTAATATGTATAAACGCATTGACAATTTCGTCAATTTGATTCTCGAATTTATCTCTTACGCGTTTCTTCTGTCTGCGGTCACCCTCTATCCCAACCCAAGCTCTTCCTTCATCCAAACAATCTCACCTTCTTAGGCATCCAAATGCCGTAACTCTTCTCTTCGTCCACGTTTTTCCCTGCCGAACTTTTACTAAAACAAGCTTGGTGATGCACACAAGCATTAATAATCTTCTGGACGGCGATGTTTACTCCAATAGCATAAATCTGTTTCCTCCCAGTTATACCCCCAGCAAATCCAATTGGATAACGAAACTGTTGAATGAGCGAGTCGTAACGGCCACCGGCGGCAAGTATGGATTCATCTTTCCTGTTGTTGTCTTGAAGCACTTGAAAAATAATGCCGTTTTTGTAATAGTGATGGTTGTGACTGTCACAAATTTATGACAAGGTAGCGGATAAAAATCAGTTAACTGTGTCTCTCTGACGCGCACACACACAAAAATTGATAACTTACATTAACAAAGGAACAAACACGAGCTGTCTATGGACGCCAAGATCTTTCAAATATGCTGATAACGTTTTTAACTCGCGAACCGCATCTTTTATTCGAGTTCTCATTGGCTCTACAGGTACTAACTTTTCGATTTTCTTGTAGACCGTTTCTAATTCACCTATTAAAATGCGAACAAGATTAATGTAATCGAACGGACAAAACGGTCATTCTGCTTTATTACTACATACAAAGTGGCATCTATAATTATAATACCACATACCTCTAAAATCGAACAACTCCAACTCGTCACAAATGCTCCTTGGCAATTGATACTCCACCATCAACTGCTTTCTAATCTGCCCTGCTGATACTTTTCCAAGCTTGCTTAACACGCTGCAAACCCCTCTTCTAATGTCACAAGGTACTCGACAACAGTCAAAGATTGCGTCTACAATGTTTGCATGTGTGACATAGAAACAATAATCCCCCGCATTCAACAGTGGGAACTCTTCAATAATTTCATCGACAACTTTGAGAACCTCGGCTTCGGGTATCATTGAACAACTGCTGGTGCTATGTACAATATCGAAATCAACTTCGGCAAAGACTCTTGGTTGACCTCCGACTGGATTCGTTCTGTATACTTTCCCAAACACGTATCTCTTAATGTCTGTTATATTATGCCTTCCAATATATCTGGCAAATGGTACAGTCAAATCAAACGGTAGTTGAATTATTGCGCCTTCCGCATCAAGTAAATATACCGCTTCTCTATCCTCTTTGTACAAATCTGTCTTTGGCATCAATAGCGGTGCATTCAACTCGATTGCTCCATGACGGCGGAATATTTTGACCATGTGATCTCGAACTTTGCTATAAGTTAGTTCGTTATATGCAGCAAAGTTGGAATGCCCAGAATTATAATCATAGGTATAGTCCTTGTGCTTGTCACTTTGTTGTGTGAAAAGGGCTGTCATCAGTTTCTGATAATATGGGTTGTTCGGGTTAGCTGGTTGAAATGTTGGAAGGGATTTGTATGAGATGAGTGGGTGGGTGGGTGAGTGGGTGAGTGGATGAGTGGGTGAGTGGGTGAGTGGGTGAGTGGATGAGTGGGTGAGTGGTGAGTTAGTGAACAAATAGATCGGTGAATAAGAAGAATGCACGTGAGTGAGAATCCTCAACTGCTTACTCACCAATAGTCCTCACGCTCTCTTGAATATATTCATCCTCCATTTTTGGCGGCATGTATTCACTTCGCAGCAACTCCATGCTCGTTGGTCTATCTTTTGGATTATGTTGTAAACACCATCTAATGATAGCTTCTTGGTTTTTTAACTTTTCGCACGGAAATTCTTTTGGAAACTCTATCTCTGTCCTCCTCAAATCCATAATAGTCTTTCTTCTTTCCATTTCTGTAGAAAAATTATAACAGATTTCGAAAAAGATAATGCCAAGGGAATATATGTCAACCTTCGCGTTATAGCGAGAAAGGTTGTGGGAATTGGCGGCGATTTCGGGAGAAACGTAAAGAGCTGTGCCAACTCCAGCAGTCAAAGACTCATCCTGCGCTGGAGCGTATTCATAGGACTGGTAGTTTTGAACTTGAGGCGCCGTTATATCTATAAGTGGAGCATTCGTGGTTGCAAGCCCAAAATCACCAATTTTCACATCACCGTTGGCATCGAGAAAAATATTACTCGGTTTCAAGTCGCGGTGAATCTGTGAGATGTGTTCAGTGAATAATATATATGCGCAAGACGTCCGCCCATATCAGAATGGGCGCGTGAAAAGAGTGCGTAAGCCTGTTAGTGGATAATACTGACATAAAAAGTTGAGCGGACGAAAAGTCTACGACTGACATACCATTCCCTATAATTGTAAACAAGTAGTCTGATAAGAATTTAAATCATGTAATATGAAATAAAAATAACTGATATTAGCTTGAGCCTTACTTGACTGTGAATGTGAACCAGACCTTCCACAATCTGCCGAAATAATCTGTTAATGCAATTTTTAGATAATAATGTTATTATTTTAGACATATCACACAAATGGCAACAAATGTCTTTCGCTCTCACCTCCATCCTTCTTCTTCAGAAATGCCTTCTTCAATGACATCGTGTAATGTCTTTTTCTCACAATATTCCATTTGTATGTACAGTATCCAAGTTTTCTCTTTTGATGCCTTCTTATCATTTGTGCTTTTCCCATTATTCCCATTATTCCGATTATGGTTGTTATTATTTTTGTCATTAGTACCATTTCCGTCCTTTCCCGATTTTACCCCGCCCTCGAAATCGTCATCTTCATCTTCTTCACTAGAATATCCGAATCGAATCATGTTATAACTTTTCCTACTATTTGATTTTGAAGTTGATAAGAAATCAAAATTATTCGTAGGAGGTATGGGATCAGATGAAGAAGCCGTGTCTGTAACAGAAGATGAGGAGTGGGTAGACGAAAGAGATGAGGCATCGGAAGAATCAAAGGACGCGTGTTCTTCATAAAGACCATCAGAATCTGTGGAATGATAGCAAACAAGAGTAAGTGAGAAATAAAAGAAAGCAAAAATAGTGTTATGACTAAGAGACTCCCAATAAACTTCAAATCAACTTACCTTCAAACCAGGTTGTATAATATCTTACAACAAATTGATGATGTAGTCTTGAGAGAGTAGTTACTTCACGTAAAATTTTACGAATGTTTTCAAAATCGTTTGGATTTAATCTAACTTTTTTTATGGCGTAAAACCTAAATATATATTATGCAAGCAATTTGAGAGAAAGAAGATTTATAGCATAAGAAATTTATCAAGCAACTCATGTATACTCGCTTCGGCCATTGCCCAGGGTTAGCAACATATTGACTTGTTGTAAGATTACGTACCGGCCATCAAGCTTGTTTCGTGCTTTTACGACTTCTCCAAATCCACCTAACCAAAGCAAGCATATTATTTAAGCATCTTTTTATCAATTCTCAATCTCAAGGCCGATTCTTACCTCTTCCGAGAAAGGTAATCTCCTCAAAATCGCTCTTATATCTTGAAGTCGTACATTGTGCTTGAGAATGTGGCGGACTTGATGAAAAATATACGGGGCTCTTCCCAAGTAAAGTCATTTCTTGTGGAGAGACAAGTGTTGTGGCGGTATTTGCGTTCGAAGAAGTGAGGAATGAAAGTGGTAAAGGGCTTGCCATTGGGTCGTCGTTGAAGAAATGGTCATGGAGTAGTTCCAAGGCTGTTGGACGTTTGCGATAGTCGCTGGACGCGATAGGTGGATTTGGGAGAGAGAATATCAATGTGCGATCTGATTAAATAATGAAACATTTATATAATAAATAACAAGGCCCTACCTTTCAAACATTCGTCGTAGAACCGTTACTACTGGTTCCGGAAGGTCATGATCGCCTGACATAATAAATTTGCAGAACGAATTAAAAAGAATATTTAAATAATATAATAATTTCACAATCATCTCATGCATCTTCACATACGCGATTCAAGCAAATCGTCAATAGATTCGTACTCATCCACCACTTTACATCCACAGAGCATCTGCACAAATATTATTCCCAAGTACCAAATGTCATTCTTCCTACAAGTTAGTCAACACAGATTCTTTAAGTGAACGCGATCAATACACAAAACACACTATATAGAATAGTCTACGCAAGTAAATGTGTCCAAGCCAAACCTTGAATACAAATTCGGTCGAGTTTCATGTTCAGGCGATCTCCTACAAGGATAAAGAATGTTGAATATTAAGAACTAGATAAAAATGTCAAAGTCCGCCATTGTTAGCACTATACATACCATCGAGGTCTCCTTTCTTCGGCAGAATATTCTGAAAGAGGATGGCTTTTGTGCATATCTAAAACGAATAAATCCGATTTAATGGATACTCAGCATACTCCACGAATACGAGCGGCTGAAGACTCACCAAGTAGCTTCCTATGGTAACTGACGTCGGACAATTTTGCTTTACATTCATCGGACTCAACAACTTGAAATAGAGTATTGGAGGCTTTGATATCTGTACAAACGAATCCAGATTATTATATTCACCTAGAGATTAGCTTTGTTCCAAGTTCAGTAAAATCTAATTACTAGGTAATCCCACCTTTATGCACGAGATTGTGTGAATGTACATAATCCAGTGCACTCAACAGCTGCTTCATATATTCTCTCGCCATCTCCAGTCTAATTGTACCGCACTTTCTCAATAGATCAAGCAATGTTCCACCACTTGCATGTTCCATGAGAACATGTAAATACCATCCAGAATCACATCGTTCCAATTTTCCTTCGTAGATAGATATCAAATTGGGATGACGAAGAGATTTAAGGCGCTCCAGTTCTTTTTCTATTTCTTCAAGCTTTGCGAAAAATGATTTAGAATAAAGTATGAGAAAAGATGCTTGGATAGGAGAATTCGCGTAGGCATACATGAACCGTTATGTATGCGCGATACTGTTTGCAAACGCTTTCATAACTCCTTTCTACCGCCTCTGCTTGTCCTATACCGAGTGAACAATATTGTCATTTACCTTCTTCTTTCCATCCAATTCCAAATAATGAGATCCACTAATATCGACTTCTTTCAATGCAAAGCATTTGGAAAATACTGGTCCCTTCCATTCCCCTTTTAACTGCAAGTCTGCAGGATGAACAATGTGGGTGTATCCAATGGGTCCTTTGTTAAAATTACAGACAATCTGATTAGGGCTTTTCCTTGGTTTCATACGAAAAGAAAATAGATCGAGCATAAGCCATAACGATGCAGTAATATGAAAGCTAAAACTACCTTTGCCTATAAGTGGACCGAGAATTACAGATTTAAACTTTGGAGACTGATACAAGGAAAAAATATTTATAACAGAACCAATTACAAATGGTTTGAAAAATGGTATAAAACGCAAGTTTAGAATTAATAAATTTACAGTTCCCCAAACTTATAACATCCGTTCATTCTAATCTCGTCTTATAACTCAATTCCCAAATGCCCATTTCTCGGGTTCTTACTTCTTGATTGTCAATCTCCAAAGGTATAAAACTGTCAAAAGAGACTGTAGGAAAAGCCGTCTCCACTTCGTCTCCGCCGTCCGTATCGTGCTGGTTCTGTAACATTTTTAACTTTCGCTTAGCTTCCTTCGCCTTTGCTTTCTGCTCCCTATCTTCTTTTATCTTCGCGATGAGTTTTTCTTGTTCCATGTTTTGCACTTCTTCTAGATGTTTTTGCTGTTCAAGAGCCTTTTGCTGTTCGGCCTTTGAAGGGGGAGAATGTGGTGTGAAATGAAAAGATTGGTCGGGGATTAAGGAAACAGGGGAAAGAGTAAGCCATAAGTGATTATAAAAAGTTTTCGCTGTCACTCAAGTTCCTTCCAACCATTTCCTCACGCTATCTATTACCATCTTCGCTATTCTTACCTTTGTGGTCTGTTCGATCCTACTTAACATCTGTTCATGAAAACTCATCGCACCAACACCCCTAACAACGTTATTATTTGCAGTAATATATTCCTGCACAAACTGAGCTATAGTAAACACCATTTCCTGTCCTAGATTTTCCTTTATCAACACTGATAAATTCTTTTGGAGATCAGTACGTTGCGTATTAGAGAGACCACGAGGATTCAGAAGCCTGATGTCTGGTGCTACGCGTGGGTATGTCTTGGGAAATCTAAAGCAATGAAATGTGAAATGTTTAGAATAGTGTTGGGAAAATACTTTAAATAAAACATCATGATTGTAATCGTACTTGACATGTAGCTCTACACTAACAGTCTTCTTCAAGTCGTCTTCGTTAGGCTGTAAGCGTAACTTAAATTCATGTCCCGTTGGGGTAACCTACTTTCGAACACGGTAAGCAACATATTAACAAATGTAGTTCGAAACAAGAGACATGATAAATCACTTTATGTTGACAGCATTGTGGTGTTTCTCTCTATCTTTACGCGATTCAGTCAATCCAACATCATTTTCACACCTTCCACGCATTCTTTGTAACAACAGGTTCATAGTCGTCCATAAATATAGCTAATTGGGCAAAAGTTTATTTATTGAAGTAATTCTGTTATCAATGGCAAAGGTGGGTGTTGCAAAGCACAATGGGGAATTCATGCCTTTTAACGCCTCGACTTCATTGTCTTGGAGCTCCTTTAATAGAAGAATGAGTAAACTATGAGCCAATAATTCTGAGTTATAGGTAACAGTTTTACTTTGTATGCTTGTTATTCTAAGACGAAACACGCAAGAAACTTAATGCAGACGATTTATACGTGCATTATGCTCTCGAACTCTTTCTGATTGCCATCAATAACAAAAACCAACCTTCAGTTCACTTATTGGAGAAGTCAAAAGCGAGCCGTTTGTGGAGCGCATTTGGGAAACTAGAGAGGTTGCATGTGAGAAAAAGGTGGGAGGGAGAGTTGATTGTGGAAAAAATCAAGATGATTAGAATTGTGTGGATGCTCAACGAACCTTCACATTATCGATTTGTGTAACATATACCCTTTAAAGTGATGAGGGATGGGGCGGGTATTTAGTAAGTGTTAGTACGTTACATGTTACCATAAGCAAATGTACCCATCTGTTGGGGGCCTGCTGTTGTTTTTATGTTTCCAATTTAGTGTTAGGTGGTGACAATGAGATATCGGGGCTTTTACCTATTGGTTGATTAGCTAAAGCTTCTTATGTTATTTGGGGTTTGCACAATGTCACAAAGGAGTTAGAACACGTTTGTTAAATGTCGTTGAACTTATTTGGCATTCTTGTTGAACCTTAGGATTTCTTATCAGAAAGTAGGCAACAATACCTACTTACTACGTCATACGAAAATATAATCTGAATACAACAACGCGCGGAAGAGTCTGGTGCGTTTGGTGACCTGAAGTATGCTCACATTGTGGCTGGGGAATTTCTTTAATATGCCCATGGTTATTGACTGGCCATTTAATAGAGTATCTGTGGAGGTTAAATATTAAAACTAATGTATTTTACAGATGCAATTACTTGCATGTGACTACAAACTTGGTTACATTGGCGACGACTTGGCCAATAAGCATATTAACGAGAAATACCACGTGTCTACCTTATTCCAACCAATTAAAACTTTCACTTTATCAGTCGCTTAAATGAGATATTTACGTTATTTAATGTTGCGTGATGTAATAAGCATAATAATAAGTTAGTAATTTTCTGCCTTTGCGCGCGTAAGTAAGTCTTGCCAAAGAGCTTGCTCCTCAAAAATTGGCTAGCCAGCAATCGCAAAATGATAAAAGATGCCATCGCACAACAGTTCCAACAGCTTACTACTATGAATCAATCAATGGAATGTGCTTTTGCACATAATTGTTATTATCTATGCCCAACCATGATTGCAAATATTGACATTTACTCTAAATAATAAATAAATAAATAAATAAATAAATTTTCTTATAAGTTTAAATAACCCATTTTTCAATATCTTAGAAATAAAAGCGTGCGATATTTTTTATCCGCGGTATGCGCATTTAATTGCTGCAAATAAGTTTTTTTCATGCAGTATTAATATGATAATAGTAAATGAATAATTAATACGTTGTGCTTTGAGGCCATGAAACCTTCTTGTACTAACCGTTTTGCGTTTATTTACAGGCGCAATAATTGTCATCATTATCGTTGTTGGTATTTCCATTAATAACTTATATAATATTATTTACTTAGGACCTGAATATCGGGGTCTTTACTGACGACACCGTCTATTATGAACGTCGAATATGTCAATTGTTGAAAGAGTGACTTGTGATTTCTATCACTTCTTTGCTTCTTTTTCATTATAAGATACGTACGTATGTGCCATTCGAAGTCTATCATCAACAGGCTATTCTCCCCAAGGAATTAGAAGCACACAGAAATGCAGACATGACAGCGTGTATGTTAACTACTGTGCCATTATGAGATTTTGCAACAGCCAGAATTCAGCATGCTGCATTCCGATGCTATTTGTGAGAGAGAGCTCTAGTCATCTCACACATGTTTTTTTCCCAGAACAAAGACTTGTGCTACAGTCTTCAATTATGAGAAGGATATCCCGCGTGACAGACAAAGTTAATATTAACAATAAACAATGAATATCTTTTGTTATGCATGATCGTATAATTAGATAACAATAACAGTCTCAATTTAAACTTGAAGACGTAATAATGCCGTATAGCTCCGAAAATAAGCGAAATTATTATCAGTAAAAAAACGATGAAATCTATTGCTAAAATATTGATTTACGTCACTAAATTTAGTCAGATATTTACATGCTTGTGTACAGAGCATGACAAATAAACAAGAAAGTGGCAATCAAGCTATAACAAAATCATTAATACCCGTTGCTACCATGATGTCGGAATCAAGCGAAACCGTTACTGTGGATTGCTACATTTTTTCCCTCTGTGTTAAATACCTGACATGTCTTCCATTGATATTTTTAAACATTAAACACAGATATAATATCTTTGTTTTTTGCAGCTTTAGCACACCCTCCCAGATCTCACAGTTTCTTGGCATTAACTAATAATAATAAAGCTTTGTAAGTTTACACTAATTTTGGCAATTGATGCGAGGTAAGCGTAATACTGCCGTTTGATTGGCCGATCGAAAAATCACTATTAGTCAAATTACGTGTTTGTACTAGTACACTTAGTATTGGCAGTATTGACGAACCAAGATGTGCTCTACACATCAAAATTTTGTATGTAATGTGATATGCTCTGAATGCGCAGGGCTGAGTAGTAACGCAGACTCATTTTATGTCTTATCTCGAGTCTCACACAGCTTTTGACATGAGAGTTGAGATATCAGAGTCAAATGTACATGAACAACATGAACAACATTAATAACATTAATAACATGAGAATTCGATAATGGTATAAGGGTCGCTTATATACCTTTAGCGACACTCAAAAATCGAAAAGGATTAAAATTAATTAACAATCGTAATTTCTATGAAGAACCAATCATATTCTAATTTAGCTAACTGTGTTTGTGCTGACACGCAAAAATGCCTAAAACGCAACGCCCATCCTAAAATTAACGTCGTCGATCATGGGATTTTGCTTGACCGCGAGGAAGATTTTACCATGTGACTCACTTATCTGATTCATCAGATCGGCTTGCCGTAACAGTATGAAGGTACTCGTTTTGTTCTTTTATACACGATTTTCTAGTTATAGTGCGCTATCTGTACTAGATAATTTTGATATGTATACGCTACAGGTTTCTCAATTACGGAGCAATATAGAATCAGTTACAAAGATCCATCAGTATGTTTCTGACGGCTTGGTATAATTTAGTAAAGAAAAACAATACAAAACGCACGTTAGAATCTGATCGCAAAAGTAATTCTGGTAAAAAACAAGAGCCTGTCCTGTAAGTATCTTTAACGAGATTCATAGCTCAAGATTAAAGATTTCTAATTTTGTTTCTGTCCATGGAAGACCCTGAAAATCCCAAAAAGAGAACAGCAGAAGAAGCTTTCACTACACTATTATTACACCTCCCAACCTTCACGATCGTTCTCCCCCTTCATCCTATAAAAGTGGAGATGATTCTTTTGACGCCGAAGCATCAACTGAGGCCTCTCCCTCTCCAGTAATGTTTTTTCGTTTGGTTTGTCATATGATGTGATAAGTTCGTTTCTAATCTGCATTGCTCTTCAAAGTCAAATGGCCATAAACTATTTGAATAAAGGTGATTTTATGGAAGGTAAACTTGCTGGGATTCAGAAATTTTAAGCAAAACCACTCCCAACAATGTCCAACAAACTTTTGACATATCTTAACAGTTTCTGTCCAGTAAGTTGTTGTTATTATATAATTAACCTTTATTATTATGATTTGTTTGCTTCTTTAAGATTTATATATTTTTGGATAGGAAATGACTGCTGAACTTAGGCAATTGGTTTTTTGACAAGAAGCTATGGATCAAAATTTTGATTAGCAGAAAGATTTTGATCATGACTGGATACAAAACACAGTCTATAATTTGTATGCATTGTTAGATTATACCTGTGCCTCTCTATGTGTCTCTCTGAACTGAACTCTTGGTTATTTTATAGGTTTCAGGAATATAAAGCAAACAGTCTTAAGAAGAATCACTTGGAGTTGTGGTTGTTATTGCATGTCTGGAGCTTTATTGATAATAATAAGGCATTTGAAAATTTGGGAGATGTACAGGCTGTGAGGTAAATATAATTCTTTTTTTTGAAATTATAAACCAATTTTTTTCTAATGAAATTTTCTTTTCACAGAGTAATATAGGATTACCCATATATGGAAAATTATAATTATAGTGGTTGGGCAAATATGCCAGATAAATTCTGGTGAGAAAGATGTTGTTGTCCAAGTTTTATTATATACTGTATACACAGGCAAACTCGATAAGTCGGTCATGCATGATGGACCGACTTATCGAGAGGTTTTAAATATTAAAACTGAGAAAAGGGCTTGGGAAGTTTTGGCCTTCTTAGGCCAAAATTGAATCATCAAGAGACCAACTTATCGAGTTTGCCTGTGTATCAGTTGCTGGACCATGGATGATGATTTCTGGTTCCCTTTCCTGGAAAACCAGTAATGGATCCACTGACACCATATATTGTCCCAATGCCAACTATGGACATTAATACAAAGAGATTAATATCATGACTCTTGTGGGCATTGGAAAGAGAATTTGATAATTTGAGAGCATATTATAATAGAGCTGCCTCAACTCAAGTGATATCTCAAGATGTGCCCCCACACTTTTTTGCAAAAAATGATGATTACCATTAATGGTTGTTCCCATCATATAGAATACATCAAGCCATTGAAGAAAGAATTTCGTGAAGCAAATATCTATTTGGCTGATAGAATATGATACAGGATATTCACAATCCATTGTTGTTAAATTTATCTGTGCAGCTGAGGGTTATGCACCAGAATTAATTGCTATAGATGATGTTAAAGATTGGAAGATGGTTGTTATGGAGTTTATAGAAGGTGATACATTGCAAGAGCTGGGAGTAATCTGTCTTTCATCAGATAGAAAGTGCAATTCAGTTTTTACACAGCCATAATCTTGTGTTTGCTGACCTGGGAATGAACAATGTAATGGTTAAAAAGTCAAACCAACAAGTGATGTTGATTGATTTTGATTGGACTGGGAGAGAAACTGAGGACTGCTACCCACCATTTATGAATCATATACAAGTGGATTGGCCAGAAGGTGTATAAGATGATAAGCTTTGAAGAAGGAACATGATTTGATCTGGTTGGAAAAGATTAAAATTGGAGATCCAGGAATCAGAAATAATCTCTATGTTGTAATGCCTTTGTCTAGAATTGAGTAGTAGTAAATAAAAAGCAGATGTTGAT